GATATGTCTGCTTCCCCAGTTTTGGGTAAGTAAAAAGAGCTGGTCCATCAACAAATAATAATTCAAACTGCAACTGAAAAACATATTTGCTATATACTTGAATACCTTTTGCAATCAGTTATAACTAAAACCAAGCTTGTGCAAATTAACACAGAGATGCCCATATATTTGTTTGGGAAAAGATTGATAAAGTTGTGGACTTCAGTTGTAGATTATTTTTAACTTGACTCTTTTTTTTTTTCTTTTTTTTTGTAAAGCTTAAATAAAAGTTCACCGACCAAATGTTTCATAACCTATTACTATTTGTTCAGTTTTACTATGAGCTTATATCTGATAATGTAAAAATGCACACATCCATAGACAAGCACACTATATAGAAAAATCTGTGAAAACAAGATTTTCTTCAACTTTTCGAAGAATAAAAATATAAATATAATTGACCCTCTTTCCGGCATACATGTTAATGGAAATAACATCTCAGACACTTTTGATTTATCCTTAAGACCCTACTTCCTGGTATATGGCGTCATGAACATATGCAAACAGGCCGATTTACTTGTACACTGAGTTTTTTTTGTTTGTTTGTTTGTTTTACTTTGAACATCTATCTTTATTTCTATTTTGTTTTTTTTTTCTTCAACATATATAGCTTCTGTTTGTGATAAAGCTGTACTAAAATCAGGTAAGTGTACTTTCATAACCATATCCATTCATTGTTTACACCAGTTTTACAATGTATGGTCACAGAGGACACTGATGTCTATCTTGACTTGTCAGTGGGGTCACCAGTCAATCACACAACACCACACAGACACAATCAACAGAAACCATGCAAGCATACATTTATGGCTATGGGGGAATTTTAGAATAATTAATTAAACTACCATGTTTCTGGGCAGTGAAAGGAATATGGAATATTTGTGAAATATCCAGATGGACTGATCTTGGTATTTTTATCATCACAATAACAAATGATGTAGTACTTGACAGGATATTATTTTTTTAGGTCTCATCTATGCAAATTTCACATGCCCATAATATAGATGGCCTGCTGGGCCAGACTTTCACTGCCCACTACATTTACTTTTTGATGTATATTGTGTTTTTAGTTGCTGACATCCTCACACTCACAAAGAGGACATTGTTGTGAAGAAGAAGAAAGAATAGTGTCTTCAAAAAGTTGTTGTAATTTGCAATGTTACAATATTTGGCAACAGAATTGAAATTATTTGTTTTCATAAGTACTTGAGTGGAATTTACAGAACAATTGTAATAAAACTCACTTTTGTTTTATCAATAAGACAAGAGCTAAGACTTTTATTGAACTTTTTCTATTCCACATTTGACATGTTTGAAGAAGACTTTCTGGAAGAATCCAGTGAGCCAGAAGCTGTGGTACCCAGTAAAGATGCTCTGCTGCAGCTGGTGTCCCTGCAGAAGGCATCTGGCTACTGGATGCTTGATGCAATTCTGGCTGCTGTGCTGGGAAAGACCGGCGAGCAAGTGGAAAAGGCAAAGCCACAGTCGGTGGGTTCTAAGCTAATATTTAATATCAATTTTAAGGTGTTATGTTTCAAAAATTCCCACATGAAGAAAATGAGGAGTAAAATTGTAGGTAGTGCAAATGATCATCACTCTGACCATTTATTTGCTAAATCGGCTCAATAATGTTTATGGTTTCTTGCAGTTAGGGAAGTTTAAGATCGTTTGCAGAGGTAATGAATAAAATGCAGGAAAAACAAACATGCAGTCATTCACTCAGACCTGAGAACAACTTGAAGGCCATTTGTCTTACCATCCATGTATTTGCATTGTGGGATGTTGGAGTATCAAGAGTCAAAGAAAACTGATGGAGAACATAGAAACTCAACACAGAAAGTCTCCAGGGATTTGAACCGCGAACCCTGTGAGGCAAATGAGTCAACCACCATGTTTTAGTGTTGAGCTGTAAAGGGAGAGTTGATACGGAGTTAATCAACTGAACACACATAAGAAACGTGAGACTTAAAAAATAACCACCAAACTGAAAATAGCCAGCAAAATACAGAGTAACATAAGTATTTTTTGTTTGTTTGTTTGTTTTTCCACAGTAATGAATAATAATAAAATTAAGTGACAGTAATGGGATTTAATGAAAATACCTGCAATCCATCAAGCAACTTTTGGCATGATATGGTTTTGTGTGTCTCATTTCTGTTAATTAGGTCAACAATGAAGTGTGGGCCTCCATTCTGGCTCTGATTTGGCTTCATGGTTTTAAGATGGATGCAAAGGAGGAATGGGAGCTTCTGGCTATGAAGGCTGCATCATGGATTAAAGCTCAGTCAGGTGATGCACATTACAACGGTGTTGTGTGTTAAAATAGAAGGCTATTCAGGTGCAAAAAGAATTTGTGAATGCTTTCATCCCTTTTTTGCCCTTTCAGCTCCATCTGTGTCAGAGTGTGTTGAAGCTGGAAATACACTGTTGGGTTGCAGCATGAAGAGAGAAGCTCTGGGGCTCTGAGGTTTTCCGTATGAAAGTTGATGATCAAAAAGCAGATTTAATCTGTTTCTACAAGCTTATGACTTCACTCTGTTTTTGGAACAACATTGTTTGTGTGAAAAAGAAACCAGGAGTAACACATAAATACATTTTATTTACAACTTTTGTACATGTGTTTTCAACAGTTTTCATTAAACAATGTTTATGTAATAAATAAGAAAAATGCTTTTTAAAAAAAGACAAAATGTTCCCACTATTCTTAGGTGATTTCCAAAATCACTTAAGAATTAATTTCCATACTATTTTTCAGGTTAGTTTTGCTTTGGCTTCTGTTCAGTTTGAAAGAACGCAATTTGATTTATGTAATTTATAGTTGATTCAAGTTGTGGAATAATCACTGGTGACCCAGGTTTATGAAGATAACTTGTTTATCTTCATAAACTGTTGTTAACTGTTGTTAGTTTATAAATCACTGAACGGTTTAGCACCACAATACATCAAAGATCTGAAAGCTGCTTCTCCTCTCTTGGTTCTGGTTCTGGTCTGCTCTGCATCCCCAGAACCAGAACCAAGAGAGGAGAAGCAGCTTTCAGCATCTATGCACCAAAACTTTGGAACAAACTTCCAGACAACTGTAAAACAGCGGAAACCCTGACTTCTTTTAAATCGCAACTAAAAACACACCTGTTTAGAATTGTATTTGAAATGTAATATGTAACAATGTATTGTCTATTATATGTTGCATGACTTTGTGTTCTTGTGTTTATGATGTAAAGCACTTTGAAATGCCTTGCTGAAATGTGCTATACAAATAAAATTTGATTGATTGATTAATGTGACCTACCTGCTAAGTTTTGTCATACTAACCTGCCTTGTCACAGCATAAGATTATACAGAAGAGAGAACTTTTTTAATATATATAAAAGCATTGAATTATGTAGTCAAGACAAGCTCCATCTTTGTCAGTGTGCTGATCTGGAAATACATTGTTGGTGTATTTCCAACAATGTATTGTTGGAAATGCATTGCATTACCTTCAACTTGTAAAAGTTTCCTTTAATTTTACAAGTTAAAGGTAAATGCATTACCTTTCACTTGCACTACAGGTAATGCAAGTTTCAAATTCAACTTAGAAAGTCACATGGTTGCTGTTGTGAATTAGACTCCATCAGTAAGAAGCCTATCCCCAAAGTTTCATTGTTGGGAAAAAGAAACAAGTTACAAATGGCCAAAGAACTGATTGGCTGATTTACAGAAGAAAATGGTGCAATGCTTTACAGGCTGATGAAAGCAAAATTCTTTATTTTGAATATTTTTCTTATGACTCATAAACACTGAATACAAGTCACAGCAAACTCTGAGGACACTAAAGCATTGAGGTGTCTTTTATACTATGGCGTAAGATGTATTGATTGCTCCCCAGCCATCATGTATTGGTTTGAGTACATCCAAATATTTTCTACCATGTTGTAATGCTACTTTATGATGCAATTATGTTGAAATTAGTGTTTCAACAAAACAACACCCCCCCAAACACAATAATAAGTAAGCCTCATAGAAAAATTAAGATTGTGGAGTGGTCATCCATATCCCTGGACTTTAATCTAATAAAAACCTAATTTAAATAAAACAAACACCTGCAAACAAATGTAAGGAACTATGGAATATATTCCAATCACCCTGGCCTGGTATTTGGTTGTGACACATATAAGAATGTCTCTGAAACAGTACCGTATTTTCCGGACTGTAAGTCGCTCCGGAGTATAAGTCGCACCCCCTACCAAACGAAGAAAAAAACTGTGACTTATAGTCTGGAAAGTACGGTAGTTATGCAATAAAATTTTGTGTAGTGATTCACATAAAACCATCAGTAATTTACACTTTTCTCATGCAGAGGAAAATAAATGATCTCTTTTCACATGAACATGCCACTTTGAAATGCAACTTTGTACTTAGAAAATATGTAAATAACTACATTAATTACAAAAAATACCATCGGCATTTTTAAGTCAGCCATATATGTCACAATATTTCTGCCTCTTGACAAAGTGAATGAAGAAGATTTTATTAAAACTGATGGAGAGACTAGAATTTATTGCCATTTGCACAAATACACAATAAAAGCACTTTATTGTGTATCTAAAGTAAAAATATAAAACTTTCTTGTGTTTTGCCAACTCAAGAAAGTTTTTTTAAAAAGATATGCTTCCTATTTAAAAACAAAACCTGAAGACTTTAGATGTACTGTCTTCAAAACTAAAACAGGAGCTCAATTTCAATGCTTTCCTTTTTCTCCCAATATTTATCGAACAATTACGAATGCTTTGTCCTTTCATGTGAATCGGTTGTTGCACTCCATGACACACTTAAAGGCAAAGAGGTACAGTCTGATCAAGAATAAGGAAATAAAACAGTGGAAAGTAAATTTGCTCGAACTGTATGTTCGCATAGGGCTGGGCTTCACTGACAATGCTCCACCCACCCGGTGCGCTCTCATAACAAAACCGAGCGTTCCCGGTAGTGGAACAGCTGATGTCTTGTTTGAGCAGCAGGTCTTCAGATAACGCGCAGTAAATTCTGTATTTCTCCGTTAGAAGCGTCTGTCCTCACTGGTAAGCTTCCTTCACTTCTTTTCTGAGTTTATTTGAGCTGACGCACTTTTTGCACTTACACCAACACAAACACGAACAGCTGCGCTTTTTGTCTGAAAGCAAATCCAACTGAGTCACCGCATTTCTAAGGAAGCCTTCCTGGTTTGCATGCAGTCAAGCCCACATTTCGACACCCGGTCGAACTTTGTACGTTTTCTTAAAGATTTTTAACTGACTATTTTAAAATGAAAAAATATTTATTTTGGTAGCAGTGTCTCAAACAAATTAAGAAAACTCTAATAAAAGTCTGCTCTCTTAAAATGTGATTCTGTTTAACTTCGCAAAATTAATCTAAAGTCAGATTTTTGAGAGGCTTGTGGTGTGACACACTCTAAAGTAAAAAATATCAAAGTTCCACGATATTTACTCTGAAGTCACCAATGAAATTCCTGGTATGTGGTGCTTTTGAGTTCCCATGCCATAATGTGGGATAGCCTATTGGGGTAAGGTGACCTGATATTTGTAGATCTATCTTACCATATATGACTTCTATGTGCCACAAAACACAACCGTTTACAAGATTCATTTATTTAAAGTAATTAAATCCGATTTTTAAATGCAATGCTTACTTCACTGTCATGTCCTCTTTACAAGTGAAATTTTTTCCTGATTAATTTTCAGTGTTTTCTTTCTTTTTGCTTGTGATATTACAAAAAGTAGCTGCCTACTTTAAAGCTTTTAACCCATTTCCCCCCAAAGTTTCTTCCTCACAGGAACAATGGTGAACTGCTGTGGTCTGCTCACTGACAAGAAGGAACCAGGTACTCAGCTGTTCCTAAACAGCCTATAATAACAGATTTTATGGTTGCATGTACCTCAGTCATGTCCTCTTTTTAATCTAATTGATTTATTGGTTTCTTCAGCATAGAAGGAACAATGAACAGTTTAATTGAGATGTATTTAAACATTTCCTATGGTTCATTCATGTCTTTCTTTGCTGATTTAGTTCCTCTGAAGAGCATTGATGCTCAACTGGAGGTGAAGGACCATGTAGCTACTCTGGTCTCCACTCTGAACTATGAGAACAAGGAGGACAAACCTCTAGAGGCTGTGTTTGTCTTCCCTCTGCCTGGAGATGCTGCCGTGTGTCATTTCAGTGCTCAGATTGGAAAAACACACATTGTAGCTGAGGTGAAGGAGAACAGCAGGTGAGCTGGAACAAAGATGTCTTCTTTATGAAGAAGCTGAAACACAATAAAGTGAACATTGCTGACATGTTTCATGTGGACTGCAGGCTCAGGAGGAGTATGATGCCCTGAGCTCCGGTCAGCAGGCCTTCCTGTTGGAGGAGAGTGACGAGAGTCCAGATATCTTCTCCATGAAAGTGGGCAGTCTGCCTCCAGGAGAGAGCGCCTCCATCAGGCTGGAGTACGTCACTGAGCTGGCTGTGCAGGCTGATGATGGGTTGAGGTTCTGTCTGCCTGCTGTGCTCAACCCTCGATACCAACCTCAGGGTAGGAAAACCAGCTGATAGATGGATGCACAAATATACATTTTAATTACAAACTAAGTGACTCCCAGTTTTCTCTCATGTTGTTTCCAGGTAGTGAAGGTTCCAGTGTCCAGGTGACCTCAGTTCCAGCCTCTCTGGTGCCCTACTGTCTGTCCTTTTCTGCCCGAGTGTCCTCTCCTCGTCCAATCTCTAAAATAGAGTCCAGTTGTTCCCTGGAGCCTCTTCAGTACCTCAACGCTGATCAAACTCAGGCGACGGTGGGTAAAGAGCTGATGTTACTGCTGGAGGTAGTTATTACAAACAAGATAATTCATTTCGTTTTTTTATTTCTGTTTTTGAATTATAGGTTAAATTGGTGGAGGACACAAGTTTGACAGAGACATTGAGCTACTGATTTATTACAAAGACGCCCACCAGCCCTCTGCTATAGTGGAGGCAGGACAGGCCTCTGCCAAACCTGGTGAGAACCGATTACTTCAGGTGTTACTGATTATTAATTGTTGGAATATGAGAAGGTTTATGTATTTTTAATTTTTTCCATCTCCAACATGCAGGCTCTCTGATGGGTGATCCAGTGGTGATGGTTAGCCTTTACCCTGAGTTCCCCCAGTCAGTGATGTCGTCACTCGCCGCCTGTGGAGAGTTTGTGTTCTTGGTGGATCGATCAGGAAGTATGGGCTGCGCCATGAACCACAACACACCGCAAGAAACTCGCATTAGCAGTGCACGGGTATTTATTTGTGTTTTAAAGGAATGTTTGAGGGTTTTTTCTTACCCCTTAATTGTCACCCCAAAAGCTCTTAAATGCAATTCAACTGGTTCATGAGGGTACTGGTTTTCTCATGCAGCTACATTTCTGTGTGGAGTTGATGACTCTTCATTTTATTTAATACAGAAAATGTCTTAAGTTTGATTAATTAGAGTAAGATATCCATTTAAAAGGAAAACTTTCCTTATCTGAGAAGGATTAGAACAAAAATCAGGTTTTTGCGATACTGAAACAATTGTCTTAAAAATGCTTTCTTTGCAAGTACCATTGTCAGAACCAGAAATCTAGCAATTTTGTCACTTGGTATTCTTTAGACTTTTAACCAAGCAGTTATTTTCTCTGTTCAGACTTTCTTTATAAAGGTTCATTTTCTGAGACTTCCCACCATTATCTTTGTCATAAAGTAATTGGCACTCCTGATGTAAAAAAAACCTAAACAAACCCTTACAGCTCCTGACATCTTGTCTTTATTTAGGACACTTTGCTGCTGCTGTTGAAGAGTTTACCAATGGGCTGCTACTTCAACATTTACAGTTTTGGTTCTTCCTTTGAGCACATTTTCCCGTAAGTGTCATCTAAGCCTTTCCTTCACCAACAACCACTCAATAAAGAAAATATTTACTAGTCCCTAACTTTCCTTAATTTCTACTCAGGAGCTCATTTAAAAGTGTTTCCTTTCATTTTGTTCAGTATATATATATATATATTTATTGGTTGTATTGTTCTTAATGGCAGTAAGAGTGTGGAGTACAGTGAGAAGACCATGGAGGAGGCTCTGAATAAGGTTGAAAAGATGGAGTCTGATCTTGGAGGAACGGAGATTCTTCAACCTCTCCAGCACATTTACAGCCAAGCCTGCATTCCCAAACATCCTCGACAGGTCAGCTATACACACTGATATTGCAACAGCTCTAGAAGTTGCACCAGCAAATAATCAGCTTTATCACACTATGTGAAATGAACAATGTGATTGTTCACCACAATAACTCCTACTGCTGCACCCATTTCTGGAATGTTAGACAAACTTGTTTTCTCCGAAGCTCACTTACATCTCCTCCCTCAGTTGTTTGTCTTCACTGATGGAGAGGTGGGAAACACCAAGAAGTTACTGATCTTGTTAAGAAGAATGCAGGCTCCCATAGGTGAAACCATAAACCTACAGATTCCCAGTCTGCTTCATGTTCTGATGTTATTGTGCGTTTGAAATCAAACTTTTGTATCGTAGGTGTTTCTCTTTTGGGATTGGAGAAGGAGCCAGCTCTGCTCTCATCAACGGGATGGCCAAAGAGGGCGGAGGTCACGCTCAGTTCATCACTGGGGCTGATAGGATGCAACCAAAGGTAAAAACAAACAAAAAAAAAACTGTAAAAAATTAAAATGTGATGATAATAAAAGTAAATAATTTCACAACTATTGTTTGAACCACAGGTGATGCAGTCACTCAGGTTTGGACTGCAGCCAGTTGTGGAGGACATTTCTGTCTCTTGGGATTTACCAAAGGGAGTGTCTGCCACTGTTCTCTCTCCACCCATTACAGCTATTTTTCAGGGTCAAAGGTCACTGATTTATGCTCAGCTAACTCTACAGGTGGGGTCACACACACACACACACACACACACACACACACACACACACACACACACACACACATATATATATATCTTCATCCTAATCAACAAATTTTTACAGAGTTCAGAGGCAACAGATGGCAGTGTGACAGTGAGATACAGCCTGGCAGGTCATCCCTCTCAGAGCCAGTTTCACTTCAATCTCAAACATGCAGATGACTCTAGGTAAGACTACTTACCTAGAGCCCCCCTGCATCTGTTTTAGCAGGGGGGCTGACAGTCAGACACACAGTAAGCAGGTTATTGTTAAGCTCTAAATAAAGCATCAGTCTGAACTTCACCAAGTTAACTAGTTTAATTAACATGTGGTAATTAAACTAGTTACCACAGTATATTTTAAGAAATTATTAGAATTTTGGTCTAAAATAATTTGGAAGCCGTAACTAATTTCAACAGTTCTTTGTATTGAAGTTGTCAAATTTGTTAGTAAAAGCAAACCACAGCTAATCTATTGATGTTTCACGGAAATGACTGTATTTGTGTAAGTCATATGATATTCATGGAAACTATTTCCCTGTTGCTCAAAAACATAAAGTGTTCCCTTTGTGTTAAGTTATTTTTTAGAGGGCTCGACATCCTGTGTCCTTGTGTAATCATAAGATTTTAGGACAGTTGGAACGTCTCTTAATGGCAGAACATTTTCAGCCATAGTGTATGGGTCAAGAATTGTCAACTAGATGTTATTAGCAGAGGGGCTGCACAGTGGTGCAGTTGCTGGCTCTGCTGCCTTGTAACAAGACAGTCCTGGGGTCCTTCTGCATGGAGACATCTTCAGGGTTTTCACTTTAGTTGTAGTTCTCCTAAACTGTGGCCTGAATTTCATTGGTGCCTGTTTAAGTCCAGTCGTTTAGAGCTACTGTTTAGTAAAACCTTGATGGTCAGGCATATCAAACCTGACAATCAGGTTTGCAAATGAGTTCTGTGGGTATGGGAGTTGCTATGGTGGGGAAACCCAGTGTGATCAGGAGTTGTCCGATGTAGCTGATGTGTTTTGTCGTGTTCATAGTCAGGATCTCAAAGTGCAGCTGTATAATGAACGATGTTATTTATCTACAGTGCTGATTTTAATTTCCTCATTTCTCCCTTTCTCTGTTTCTAAATTGACCAGGTGGTTATTTTAGTTTACAAAACACTTTTGGGAGAATAAAGAAGGTGCACAAGGAAATATAAGTGAAGATAGGATCCCGACTCTTTGCTTCATAAATCAGAAATTATTTTTGTTCATTTGATATATCTTGGTTTCACTCCAACAACGAATGGAAAATTAATCTTGACAGAAATGCAACCATACCCTCGGAAAAAAGGGGGATGTTACAGAAAAAAACAAATATAGTAGAGGGATTAATCTTTATGTTGAAAGAGATTGAGCTCCATCTTTAGATCTTTCTCCTTCTTGTCTGCAGATTAACAGTCCACAGACTGGCTGCTCGCACTATGATTCGCTCCCTGGAGTCGGAGGAGAGGACACAAAGTAAACAGAATGATGAAGAAATGAAGAAAAAGGTGGTGGAGCTCAGTGTCCAATCAGGAGTGAGCAGTTCTTTCACTGCCTTCATAGCTGTTAACAAAGACAGCGGCAAGCCCGTTGAAGGACCACTGGTGCGCAGAAATGTACCGACACCTTTCTATGGAAGTGAGTGATTTTCATTTTAAATAGTTGTTAATAGAGAGTTATAATAGGTATAAATGGTAAGTAAACCTCCTATTGACTGCAAATATCAACTGACTATGAACTGATATGATACATTGATCAAATAAGTTTCAGTCTGAAATTATTCAGATGAAGAAGTAGAATTTCTCCCATAATACAGTGTTTATTAAAAATATTCACCCCTTTTGGCACTCTATCAGTGTTACTAATCAATTATGATCAACAAGATTTAGCTTTGTTTGATAATATTAAACACCATATATAATATGTTTGGACACTGCAGTAGCAAATTCTTTCTTAATCCAAATGTGGCAAAGGTCGCTGGGATCGGGAGTCGAGGCCCCAAACGTGGGGCGTGCTAACCTCCTGCGGCACCACAGCATGCCCCAGTATATTTTAAGAATTTCTTAGAATTTTGGTCTAAAATAATTTGGCAGCCGTAACTAATTTCAACAGTTCTTTTTGTATTGAAGTTGTCAAATTTTGTTAGAAAAGCAAACTCTACATTTAGCATCAGATTTAATCTTCTGCTAATCTCCTCTGAATCCATGCTCATGGCTTTTGAAAAGATATTTGTTTGTGTGCTCAAAAAGTCAGAATAGAACCTTCTAAAAACAACTTTTGGAATAAATGT